ATTACAACACTAGTTTTAATTAAGTAAAGACTGAGAATTGTGGATTGCTAGAATTATTTCTGTAATTCATTTAAAAGTAAATTAATATTTGTAACATTCTGACATTCTTTTAGTGAGTATGATAAATTCCAACACCTATAAATAGGCAAATAAAAATTTCAAATTCCAACTTTTAAGTTTTGTTATTTGTGAGAATTTGTAGAACTGCAAGAGAGTCTATTGGATAACTGGGAAAGGATGTGTTTTTCTTTTTATTACAAACTCCAGGTGTCTTTGATTATTTCTTTTATATGAGCTTTGGGTTTCCCTAAACAGACTCTTCATTTTCATGAAGAAATTTTCTGGAAAAAAAAAAAAAGCACATTCTTTCCTTTAACATTTTCTAAAGGAATAATCCTTTCAGGCTTTTTTATATAAACACTGGAATTACCATGGGCAATTTGTGCAATCTACACTAATGTACTAAACTGAACATTTTTCTTACATTATCTGCCAAGGGCCCTTTCGTGACAAATTCACTTTGATCATGGGTAGATATGTCATCCCATTAGGTTATTACAGTCTCCTTAGTAATGTCAAGGTAAACAATTTCACATCTTGGTTTAAGCGTGATACAGGTCAGTAAGAGTCCATTCCTGTTGATTCTCTTTCAGGTTTGGGCAAAACTATAAGGCGTGCCTCCGTCCTGAGTTAGGAATTTTTCAGTCTACTAAATTGTCATTGGCTAATGAAGGTTTGTTAGAAAACTCCTTAGAATTTTACCTAAAATACTACGATAAATCCACCCATCACCTCCTGGTGCCTTAATCAATTTTACAACTTTTACTGCATTCTCCATTTCCTTTTTCTGTGGCAGGAGCACTGACCCACTCACTGCATAGGAGCTTCTGCCTGCAGCCATTTACACTGCTGACTGACTACTCCCTTTTAAAAGTTTCTGCCTCTAATTCTCAAACAGGGAATTCTGCTGCTTTTCTTCCTACCTGGTAACTGCTTCTCTATCTCCTTCTTAGATCCTTTTCTTACCATGACTTAAACATAGGTATTCACCAAAGACCTGCACCTGGCCTTTCCCCCCGTGTGTCTACACCCTTGGGGACCCCACTCACTCTCACCCACACACGTGGCTCCCAAACCTCCCACCCCCAGTCCCAAACTCTTCACTTGGATGTTCTGCTTTCAAAAGAAACACTGAAGTAACCATTATAGAAAAACTAAGAACTCTGTTGGACTTCCCTTGCACTTATTTTGTGGTTTAGTAAGTTTTTATTTTTGATAATATATGGGGCGGGGGGCACTATAATGTTTTCTAAGATCCTTAGGTGGTGTAAACGGTTTGCACTTGACTGCTAACCTAAAGGTTGGTGGTTCAAACCTACCCAACAAAACCACGGAAGAAAAGCACAATCTGCTTCTATTAAGATTACAGTCAAGAAAACCCTATGGAGCAGTTCTACTCTGTAACACATGGATTCACCATGAGTCAGAACTGGCTCGATGGCAACTAAACAACAAGAACAACATAATGTTTTCTAGCCAATGTACACCCAATGGATCACAACAGAATATTGTCAGAGATAGTTGGCCCTCTGTATCCATGGTCCGCTGATTCAACCAACTGCAGATCGAAAATATTCAAGAAAAAAAAAATGTTATGTTATTGCTGATGTGTACTATGTACCTAGGCCTACGATGGTTGCATCTGTACTGAAAATGTACAGACTTCTTTTTCTTGTCATTATTGCTTAAACAATGCAGTATAACTACAATTTACATAGCATTTACATTGTATTAGGTATTATAAGTAATCTAGAGATGATTTAAAGTAGGGGAAGATATGCATAGGTTATATGCAAAAACTACATCATTTTATGTGAGGGACTTCAGCATCCTTGGATTTTGGTATCCACAAGGGGGTACTGGAACCAATCTCCCGTGGGTACTGAGGGACGACTGTATAGTGCCGGAATATGAGTACCCTAGATTGGAAGGCACTCAAAATACATAGTGGCCACAACAGTGGACTCAGGCAAAACAGCAATAGTGAAAATGGTCAGGGCTGGACAATGTTTCGTTCCGTCGTACATGGGGTAGCCATGAGTCAGAGCCAACTCGAGAGCAACTAACAACAACATAACGTTTTCCGTACTAAGGGCTCTAAATATCTTAGTGCAGCCACGATGGGGAACGCTGCAAATTCCTGGGCTCCAACTTCAGCCAGGACTTCTATTTCCTAATAACCAATCCATGTATCCCTGTTTACTTTCCTCTTCTGCTTTTCCATCTAATTTCTTTATTTTCCCAAGGTCACGTATTGCTTATTCTGCCATTAAATGGAACCTTGTTCTTTCCATCTTTTCTTTTTTCAGTCTAGATATAATGCTATAATGTCCCTTGAGTAAAAAAATTTAATGCCAAGACCTCCCACTCTGCATATTCTATTTGTCAGACTTCTCTTTCCTGTTACTGAAATATCTGTGCAAATAAATTCCACATAAAGGTGCTGAATTATTTCCTTTGATTTGTTCTTCGACTATTCCTAATTCAATCTGCTTCCCTTTTTATAAGATCCTCGATTTCCTTCTTTGAAGCCAGTCCTAATTCTACAGTTTCATTTGCTCTGGTAGATATACTAGGGAGTATTGAGGGTTTTGGGGTGTCAGACTGAGGAACTACAGAAGTGCTTCATCAGCAGAAGACTGGACTGGTTGACTGTCTTTAGACTGTTGTACTAACTCTGCCATGACCACCTGTTCAAACCCAAGATGGCAGATCTTGTCAGTGTTGCTCTCCTGGCTTCAAGAAGAGAAATATTTCCATCTTCTTAGCTTTGTGAATGTTTCCATTGAGATCCACCCATTTTATCTGGAACTACTCTGGAGCATCAGTTTCCCGTCAGTGAAGAATTTTGTTTTTCAGGAAAGAGAGATCAAAGCCTTGAACACAAAAAGGGAGAAGTCTGTGGTAAGGGAGTAATGGAAAATAATAGGGAAGTATTTGCTATTTGAGGGAAGAAGGCCCTAGTAAAGGCAGAAAAGAATGGGATGAAGAGCATACAGGCATGTTAGCCTTAAAAAGGAAAATGATACCAGCTGATGAATGAGAAGAAAAGAAGACGTAATGGGAGCAAACACAATACTGTGAAATGGAGAGAACAGTTGAGGTGTTAAGAAGAGTATCAAACAGCCCCGCTGAAATTAGGCAGCACGGCCATGTGATGGGCCAAACTGGCAAGGTTCTGCCATTCACCCAGTGCTCTTTGGACCAAGGGTTGAAACAGAAGTGGAGGCAATTTTCCCCAGAGAAGAAAATCTAGTTCAATAATGAAGTAACAGAATCACACACATTTTTCTCTTTCTCTCTCCTTTCTATAAAGGTAATTTGATTGATTTGGCATAATTGGCACATATACATCATTTCAACTTTCCACTTATCCATATTCTTCAGCCACCAGACTGCAGGCCACTCCTTGGCATGGTCTGTGCCTTTCTCTTCCTTAGCAACCCCCAGGTCCTGGCAGATGTCTGTTTCCATGCTAAGTGCCATTCTCCTCGTACATTAGTACTTACTGGAAATAAATTAAACGTTGTCACAGGCCCATAGGTGCATCCGGCACGCAAGAAAACATTCAGTCAAGAGCTCAGTGCCTGACTTCCTTCCAGAGACTAACTTAAGCACTGGAGGGAGCAGAACTTTCATTAATTGTGATGAAAATCCTCCAGGTATCACCTCAAAACTCTTCCTGGAAATCACACTTGGCTTAGGCTCACAGTGTGGAAGGATGAATGCTGAGTTGACTCAGTGAGGACACACGCATACCTGTGGTTTTACAGACTTGGAATGTTTCATGACTAAAGTTTTCTCTCAACTTCCTTACAAGGTCCCGATAGCATAAAGGAGTTACTGGGCACCAGACAACAATGAAAGGTGTGGTTAAGAGTCTTTCCTTAGGAAAAGCAAACATGGCTGCCCTCAAGCTAGAGTCCTTTCTATCTGTCACCAGCAGCTACAGCCCCTCCCAGCTCTCACACCCAAATTGCAGGCCCTAGACCCCATGACAAGCATGCACCTGGGTTGTGCGGGGGTTCAGCGGGTAGGGTAGATGGTGAACCCTATGCTTTCTCTTGCACACTGCCATCCTGGCTAGGACTCTCTACATTCTGGCTCAGTTTTCCTGCCATATAACCCCATATGTAATTCTTGCCAGCCTCTCTTTCTAAGAGACTGAATCCTGTTCTTGTCCCCTTCAATCCTGCTGAGATTGGACTGGTCACTTGGAGTCATGAAACACCAGCCACTATCATTCAATGCCGGATGCAGAGCCTGATTCATGAACCAAGCCTCTCAGGAACACATCTGCTTGAGCCACTCCTGGTTTGTACCCCTCTTGTAGCTACTGTGCACTGGACGGATCAGCAGCACCTGTGAGGGTGGCCCCCAGCTCAGATCAGGCTCTCCAGGTGTGTCCTGACTACCCCACCTCCCTCCCCACTCAGCACCCCTGGTGCTTGCCTGTCTGAGTTACGGCAGCAGGCCCATGGATTTCAGACTTTGTCCCGCACTGTTCTTCACAAAAATGCCAGCTAACAATAGAAGGACTGTTTGGAACCCACACCTGAATAAAAGTGGATAGTGATCGCCACAAGTTAACAAAAACTAAGTCTTGGCTATAGGGGGGAAACGGATAACTGACTTATGTATAAATCAGTGCTCCTCGCCTTTTTATCATCATGGTGGCTTGGGACGATCCAGCCACCTAGGCTCTGCCTGGTTTCCCACCCTTCCCCGCCCAGGCCTGAGGGGACCAATTACCCCACACACCTGTAATCAATCCTGGTTGGGAAGCTCTGTCCTAAAGAGACACAGAGCTAAATCCTTGAGGTAAACACAGCGTACTCCTGGGACTGTCAAAAGTGGGATGTAACACTAACCCGTGTGTGGAAAGACTGCATCTTACCTTACCCACAACAGGACCTCACAGGTCAATCCCCTGAGCTCACCTGCACTGCCCGCTGTCCCTGTCGCACTCTGGGGTGGCAGTCCCCACGGAGCCCCTCAGGGAGCAGTTGCAGCTCTCGCAGCCAGCCAGGGGGTGGAAGCTGAAGGAATGCTTTTCACACACCTCGCACTGGGGCCTGACCGTCTGGGGTGGGCAGAGGCATGCTCCCGTCATCTCCTTGCACAGACGTCGGCCACAGCTGCACGCTGGCGAGGGATAAAGCAACAACGAGTAAAGATCAGATGCCGTCTGAATACACCAGACCACACCGACTGCCAGGAGCTCAAGAAGCTTCCAAGGAGTCTGGGAGAAACATCTTGCTTTCCCTTCACTATGGACATGGTGAGGGCGAATTTTATGTGTCAACTTGGCTGGGTTATGGAGACCCAGTGTTTGGTCAAACACTCGTCTACGTGTGCTGTGACAGTATTTACATGTGATTAGAATTGAAATCTGTTGATCTTAAGTAAAGCAGATTACGCTCCATAATGTCAGTGGGCTTCATCCACTCAGTTGAAAGCCTTCGGAGCAAAAACCAAGGTTTCCTGAGAGAAGGATTCTGCCTCAAGACTGTAAATAGACATCCTACTGGAATTTCCAGCCCACCTCTTGGCCTACCGATTTTTGAACACACGACTGCTGGAGTTCCCAGTCTGTGGCCTGACTAGGGATTTTAGACTGGCCAGCCCCCTCAATCACATGAGCTAATTCCTTAAAATCAATCAATCTCTAAATATAGATGCGTGTGTGTGTGTGTGTGTGTGTATATATATGTATATAAAATTTTGTATATTTTATATATATGTAATTTTATATATCTTACATATGTAATTTTATATATCATATACATATAATTTTATATATCATACATATGTAATTTTATATATCTTATAATTTAATATATAATATATAGTTTTATTTATCATATATATGTATCTTATGTATAATTTTCGTATCATATATATAATTTTATATATCATACATACGTATCATATTTTATACACACACACACACACACATACATATATATATTTGTAAAACATATCTGTTATGTTTAGGCTGTTCCTCTGGCGAAGCCTGGCTAAGACAGACATTACTGACCACGGCCCATGTGAAAGGCCCATTTCTCCAGGTCAGGACCCAACAGCTCATGGCAGCTGCAGTGCTTGAATACTGAATGAGGCACAGCAGACCAATTGGCTCTGAGACAGACACTCAGAGGAACCCACCAGTTTCTGTCTCATACTATTCTAATGTGGGACCTCCTGTTCATCAGAGGGTCTTACAAGTAAAGAAGTGGGCTCCTCATGGCTCCTGGAGCAGCTCCCTCCCTCCACCCCCAGCCTGCAGGCTCAGCGACCCAGGCCAGTGTAAGGCCAGAGGCAGGGGTTCTACTGGTATCATCCCTGCACTCTCCACTGTCGTGAGACTGACCTCAGGCAGCAAGACCCAAGATACTGTGCATGGCTCTGTCGTATGTCTGGTGCCTCAGGACAGTTCCTAAAGGCCCAAGGGTTTCTTGTCCAGGAAGGAGTATGGCTGAACATCCCTGGTTCCACTATTCCCGTGAGTTTTGTGTAAGCCCCCCCACCCCCAGGCCTGCTGAATCTCCAGGTAGTTCCTTTGCACAGTAAATTTGGGAAGCGCTGCTCTAGATGAACAATCTGTGTGTGCGCCATCCACCAGGAGGCAGAGCGGCCTGACAACACGGATGCACTTACGCCTGCAGTGTGGGAATCCATAGTAGCCGGTCCGACAGCGGGTGCACTGTCGCCCGATGACATTGGGCCGGCACGGGCACTGCCCGCCCTCTGGACTGCAGCCCTGGCCCAAGGCCCCAGCAGAGTGGCACTCACAGGGCAGTGCACCATTGTGGTACAAGGCCACCAGGGACCTGGCAGAGTTCTTACAGAACCTGGTGGCTGTCTGGGGGCTGTGGAGACAAAAGCAACTCGTGGTGGGGTCGCAGAAGGCAGCTCAGAAACCATCCCAACAGGTCCACCACCCCTCCCTCATCTGCCCCACACAGCTATGTCTTTGGGGAGAAGCCCCGGAGTCTGGGAAGAGTGAGAAAGCACCCCGCCCCTGGATGCACAGCTGGTGACACTCCTATCCATCCACCCTAACCCAAACTCTAACCCTAACTGATGGTCCTTCATCTCCATCCATCTACTCCAGGAGGACCCATCACAACACAGGTAGGCAGAAACTTTTGGTGACTGAAATAAAAGGTTGAAAAAACACCTATGTGATCAATAGAATGGTACGTGAATTGTATCTCAATACAGCTGTTGCAAAAAGAGAGTACACCTATATATGTAATAACAACAATAATGAGGAGGAGGAGGAGAATTGCCAATATTTATGGAAGGTTAAGTGCCAGGTACCACATACCAGAAGCTTTACATACATCCCACTTAACCTCACAAGCACCCAACCAGTTAGGCCTAAGCCCCATTTCACAGACATGGCAACTGAGGCTCCTAGAAGTGACGTTCCCAAGGCCATAGAGCTATGCAGTGGCCGAGCAGGCACTCAAACCCACAGCTGCTTGACCTCAGAGCCTTTGCTCTTAATATTCACTCTCCTGGAGGCTTCAGTCTCCCAGGGCCCCCTGGAGCTCCCAGGTTCCTCAAGAAACGTACAGGCGGGTATGCAGAAGAGAATAGCAGAAGCATGATGCTCAGGCTGTCCTGGGCACTAAGCATCCAGGAACCCAGGGAGAGAGCATGGGTGGCCACGTCTCTGTGGTACCCTCCACTAAGTAAGCAACAAAGGAAAGGGGGATCAGGGCGGATGTCCCTTCCAGTGAAGGGCACCGTGTGTGCTACCTTTTAGGAATCTGAGTTGGCAAACAGCAGAGAGGAAGAGAAACTTCCAGCAGCCTGAGAATCTCAGCATGGAGGACTGATCTTGGACGAGCCCAAAGCTGCAGACAGTGATCCTGCCCAGACAGCACACCATGCGGCCGCTGTAGCATGATCAGTGAGGAGAAAGGGCATTTCCTCCTCCACCCCCACTCACTGCCACCCCTGTAAGTTGCAAAAGAAGACAGGTCCACGGGCCACCCTCCCCGAACCATGCCCTAGCTGGAAATGTAGCAGTGCCCCAGGCCTTCCAAGGCCTTCCAAAGAGCGGTACTTACTCAATATAAAAACTGTCTCCTCCACAGTCGTTGACAAACTTGGATGACTTGTCCAAGAATTTCTTGTGTAGTATTTGGGAGCTGTAATTCTCCACAGGCACCACTAGAACACGGACCTAAAAGAAACCCATCAGTGTCTCTGGACTTCCAACAACAGGGCACACGTAAAGATATTCATTATACTTTCTCTTGTCTAGGATCAATGTTTTTTATTGTTAAGCCCAAGACCAAATGAGATAGAATTTTTTTTAAAGAAAAGAATTACCAGAACAAACCTAACCCAGTCTTAAAAGCTCAAGCCATGTCCCTATGTAGACAACAATGAGGGCCAGGACAGACCCCTTGGCGCACCTGCTCGGAGAAGCTGGAGCGCTGGGCTGGGACAAGGGGCCTGGGGTAAGCTCAGGGCCCCCTGTGATTCATTCCTGGGACATCCCTGGGTCCCTGAGAATTGACATTATGTATTTTTATAAGCAAACCAAGTGGCAGGACCAATGGAGAACCTAGGACCATGGCTTGCCTGGGTCTTAGGTTTCTTCTGGTAATTCTTTTCTGAAGTTTGCATCATACCTAGGACTCTGTCATAAGCAATTCAGCCCCAGGTCTTTAAACTATCACTAGATTCTTTGTACCTGTGTATATCAGACTGTACCAATAACAAATGCTGTAGGAAATTTCAAACCTCTTTGTCAACTGCTCACCATTTCAGAGCTCTTATCTATTACTCTCGGGTTATTCGATTCAATCAGCATTTGCCAAGCATCATGTACCAGGCAATGTTCTAGGCATAGGGGATACAAAACGAATAAAGTAAGGTCCCTATTCCCTAGGAAGAGGACACCTTTAGAGAGTGAAAGAGGCATAAGCATGGTACTAGAGGGCCGCAGTGCAGGGCAGGGCAATGTTTCCTGGTTCTCTGGATGGCTTGACCAAGAAGACTGATTACTTCAGAGCTGGGTCAGTAGGTGTCTTCAGGTAGAGAAGCAGGCAGGAAATTCTAGACAGAGGGACAGCATGAGAAAGCCTAGTGGTATGAGAGGAAATGGCATTATCTGGGGGCTTGGGAATGGGCTGTAAGTCCAGAGACTGGGGTGGCTGGGGTGGGGCATGGAAGAGGGCAGTGGTGGGAAAGGTGAATAAAAGATGAATTAGGAGTAGGTTGAGAGGGCCCTGGAAGCTAGAGTGAAGCATTTATATGTGTATACTGTATCCCGTAAGTAATGAGGAACCAGGGAAGGCGGTCAAGCAGAATGGCATGATCAGATCAGTTTTAGCCAGGTAGGTAACTATGCAGAGGATAGAATGGAGGGAGGGAGACCAAGCAGGAGGGCCTGGATCAGTCCAAGTGTGAGAAAGGATGGTCTGACCAGAGCAATGGGACTAGAACTGAATGGGTGTGTTCAGGAGACAGGACTGGCCATGGAGAGAACAGGGAGAAGAGGAGGCATCATTGGTGACTCTGGCACTGGGTGAACATGATTCCATCAACCAAGATGATGAACAGGGTAGGGGACGCCCTGGCTGCACAGGAAACAGGCTGGATTTGAGGCACTTGTGAGCTATGTGGCTATGGGGATGGTCACATATTGGGCCTGGAGTTCAGGAAGATTGGAGATAAATTTACAAATGTGGGTGTCATTTCAATGGAGGAGAGACTAGAATCAGTGGGAGTAGATGATGTCATTCAAAGAGAGATGATACAGGACTTGGGGCTTGGCATTTGAACCTGCAGGAACTCCAACAAATAGGGACAAGGGGAAAAGAGAAATTACTGAAGGGACACTAAAGAAAGTGGGAGAAAACCTAGAGAAAGTAGCGTGGAAATCAAAAGAGGAAAGTTTCAAAGAGAAGAGAGTGTTGAAAGGTTCAGAGAGAAGTCAGTCAGATGAGGAGACATGAGGGGCCGAAGGAAAGTTGAGATGCCCACTTTTCAGAGCTTCTTTCAGGGTAGTTTTTTCTTCTTATTCATTTCTCTATTATTCCTATTCCCCTTGATTTTAATTGTCACACACTTCTTATTTTTATAAAAGATATCTGTAAGATTTAAACATTTTTCTCTAAATATGACTCCAACTTCTTAGAGGGATTATTTCCATGAGCCAGACAAACATGCAGAACTGCCGACCAAGGTAACCACGTGAAGGGTAAACTGAGGAATGAGTGGAACGCACCAATACTAACAACTTTCCTTCTGGAACCTTCACAGTCACGGCAACCTCAGGCTCTGAGATGTCAAATGCAACCTGGCCTCCGGACATGACTTGGTCTTGGCAGCCAAGTATGTGGGGGCAAAAAGAGGCGCTGAAGGAACCTGGACAGAGAGAGAAGAGTTCACGTCCCACTATAGCAGGGATGACTTGAGGCCGGCAGCCGGCAGGGCCCGTTCACATCAGCTCACCTGACCACTGCCGCCATCCGTCCACAAACACCTGCGCACGGAACGTGGGGTGCTCTGGTTGATAAAAATGGATGACAAAGACGTATCGACCCAGATGTGGTACGTGTCCTCTCAGGGTCACCTGGTTCTAAGAGGGAAAAAAAGTAAAAAAAACAAAAACAAACGAAAAGAAAAAACCTCAAATGAAAAGCTACAAATCATTAGAATCATAGAATATTTAGAGGTCAAAAAACAAAACCAAATAACAACAGACGAAAGTGAGAGGTCATCTAATATAATACGTTGTCTCCTCATTCAGATGAGAACTGCCATTTAGAGAGGGAGCAACTTGCCAAAGGTCATACACTAATTTTGTAACTAAACCAAGACTAGAACTCTTAACATCTCAATTTCAATTCATTTCCCTCACTATTCTAAGCTGCCTTTCCTATGTGGGAACCAACTAAATTTTATCTCTCATATCCTGTTAATTTCCAAACTAGATGCAATACGAATTGGCATGAGCAACTGTTAGAATTACAAGGACATAATAAGCTCAGAACAAACATTAAGCACATTTCCATTACACAGAATGAAAAAAGTCCTGAGATTTTGAGGTTTACAGTGAACCAAAAAAAAAAAAAAAAAAGCATTATGTTATTATACGTCACCTTAGATGATTAACCAATGAATACTGATTAATTCTATTTAATTAATTAACTTCCTACTTGCAAGGCACTGTGCTAAGTGCATGAGGGTGAAAACAACAGTTGTTAGTCACAGTAGCTGTTCTAAAAGTGCTCACAGTGCAATGTGGGAAGATAACAAATAAACTCAACAGCAGCAGCCTATGAAAATAGGACGTATTACAAGATGGGTTGTGGACAATTTCCAAAAAACTTCAAGGACAGAGATCCAAGAGAGAAAGAGAACATCAGGCTGGGGTGATCACAGACAGGACTAACAGATGTCTGCATTTCTGGAAGTTTCCATAAACTTGAGGAGCATCAGATTTACCTGAAGGGCTTACTGAAACACAGATTGCTGGTCCTACCCCTAGAGTGCCTGACTCAGTAGATCTGGGATGGGGCCTGAGAATTTGCATTTCTAACAAGTTCCCAGGTGCTGCACATGTTGTTCGTCCAGGGACCACACTTTGAGAACCTCTGGTGTAGAAAGAACACTCTTGAGGGGAGTCCTACCTGTGGTGCCTTCAAGGTGACTCCAGAAACAACGTGAGCAGAAGGTGAAGGCCCACCACTCAGGGCATCCAAAGTTAATGCCGTAGAAGGAGTTTCATGGGCCAGGGAGACACAGGTGGCACTGGAACATAGAAGATTTTAAAATCTCATTAAAAACAAAACAAAAAGCTGCAGGCAGTGAAGAAACAATCCTTGAGCACAGACTGTGAGCATCAAAAGGATCCAGTACCAGGCAAGCCACAGTACTTGGAGATCTTTATATAATGATACTCAAAGCAGTCCTCTGGACAAGTGTATTACAGCCACCTGCTCAATACAATCGTTTAAAACAGAAAGAAAATCTTAATTCAGAAATCAAGTAGGCTAGACTGAAATTTATTGAAACTTGCCTTTCTAAAACTCAAATTAATTGTTAAAATGAGATATAATGCAATGAAACCTCTAAACATAAATGTTGACATAAAACTATATAAAAACAAATATACATCATTTCTTTAAAGCACAGCCAGATTTCCATCGTCTTCACGGTTTTATAGCCTAACTATGTGAACCAGATGTCGTGACTGCGCATGTAAATTATTTTTAAATCTACATGAAAGCAATCCTACCATAACCCCTGTAAGCATTGGTTAGTTAATTCTCATAACAGTTGGGAAGGAGGTCATTATTTTCATGGTTTTTCAAGTGAACAGCCTCAGACACAGAGATTAAAGGATTGTACAAGGTGAGTCTGCGTGGGCTCAAAATAGAACTCAGGCTAACTATCCTCCAGGGCTAGGCTAAACCATTTCACTCTTGTGTCAGCTTCCTGATGTTATGGAATTCTGGAAAGACTGCCGATGTTAATGATGTAGCTTAATTTTTATCCATCACAAGCCCTTAGTACCTTGGCCTGTGATCATTTTATAGTTAAGTATGAAGTTTCAGCCTTACAAGCATTACAGTATTACTCAGAGCATAATGAGGGAGAAAGGAAGGAAGCACATTACCTTTGATTTAAAAATTGCCCATAACTGGCAATGCAGTGGACTTGAGGTCTCACATATTCAGCTGAGAATTCTTCAATTGGTATGATACAAATCTGATGCTGTTGAGCAAATACAATGCAAAAAAGTTTTATCACAGTTATCAACAAAACCAATGGTATGGTCAGACATACTATTTTAAAGACGCCGTTAAGTAAAGACTTCATCCTGATGAATTGCAATTGTTATTTTAAAATAGTGAAAACTGCAGGATGGCAGTCCCCACGGTGTCATTATGTGTAACAAATCCTTTTGACTTTTATACGGGACCACTGATTAAATTGCTTGTGGAATAATTACAGAAATACAACAGAGAACAAAATCATAGGGAACTTCTAAAACAACTCTGTTCAGTGACGTTGGGTGCCTGTCTTTTCTCTCCTGCCCTGGGTGACCTGGGGGAGGAGGCGATGGGTGGCAGGGAGCCTGCGACTCAGAGACAGAGCTGCTCCTGTGAGAAATGATCCTTCTTAATAAAGGGTGATTCGAATCTCAGGCACACCTGAACGTTGCTCAAGGAACTGCCTCCAGAAGTAGTTTCTGAATCACATGAGAAACTAAGTCATTAATTTATCAATCTATTTTATTTTAAATCAAAACTGTATTACCAGCTTGATCACAAAGCTTACTCAATAACAATGACAAAAATTCTTTTAAGCACCTACTATACTCCAGGCACCAAGACCGAGGGATCCTGTAAGACCACAATGGACGATGCCTCTGCCCTCAGGGAGCTTTTATGCTAGTCAGATGAGCCAGCGGGACTATTTCAAAGAGGGCAAACCCAAGCTTAAAAGATGAAGAATCACCCCCATTACAACTGCCAAAGACAAAGAGATTAAGATTCATGTGGACTGTTATGCTTAAAAAGAAAATCTCAGTATTTTATAATAATTTTTTAAAAAGGAAACAACACTGAATTCTAGACACTTCTCAAGAGCAAGCTCAATATTTTTAATACTGTCAGGCATAAATATTTTAAACACATTAGAACAGGCTGGCCTGGCATTTCCCAGGGTGTGATACATGCTTCATATTAGCAGTAACAGGAAGTTGCTTCATGCTTAGATAATCTTACGTTTCCTAAGTTATTTATTGTAAATCTGGCCACCCCTTCCTAGCCCAGATGCCACTACCTCTGTTACCATAATTCTCAATATTCAAGTTGTGCCATTAAAAGGGTAGGCATGAAGGTTATTTAATCTGCCAAACCTGTCATTGTAACTCTTAATAGTACGTATCTAATGTACTGAATCACACTTTTTTAAAAAAATAATATTTTGTGTTTTCAGTTAAGGTTTACACAGCCGTTTAGGTTCCCATCCAACAATTCCTACACAAATTGTTCAGTGACACTGGTTACGTTCTTCATAATGAGCGAACATTCTCATTATTTCCATTCTGGTTGTTGGACTTCTATTAATCTGGTTTCCCTGTCCCTTACCTTCTCATCTTTGTTTTAAAGTAATTGTTGACTGTTTGGTCTCATATAGGTGATTTTTTAAAGGAGCACAGTACTCAGAGGTGATACTCTTTATTTTGTGAGCCAATTTGTTAATTAGCTAAAAGGTGACCTCGGGGGCTAGTTTCGGTTCAAGGATTAAAGAGTATCTCAGGGTAATAGTCTTAGTGAGTCCTCCAGTCTCAACCCGTTAGTAAGTCTGGATTTTTTAAGAATTCGAGGTTCTGTTCTGTATTTTTCTCCCATTCTGTCAGGATCCATCTATTGTGGACTTGACTGTGAATCACACTCTTTTTGAAATAGAGTAACAATCGTTTGAATGAAAAAACATACTGGGCGATTATAAACTTTAAAATTCTGAAGGAATTTGCCGAAAAGCTAATAGAGATAATAAAATAGTAAAATGGGAAAGAAAATAAATAATCCATGGCATTTCTACACACCTGCAATAATAATGAAACAGGAAATACAAGAAAAGATATTTCATTTATAATAGCAAGAGCAAATAAAAATTAATGAAATGGGGTCTTGTGAGATATGTTCAAATTTGATGACTAAACTTTATTGGGTGATGTAAAAGAGGCTCAAAGAAGTTTCCAGATGGAAAGTTTCTAGATGGAAGAATCAACATTATTAAACTGTAATTATTCACAGGTTAATCTTACAGATTTAATGCAATCCCAGCCAAAATTTTAATAAGCTTTGAAAAAATATAGATATCAACAAAATACTTCTAAAATTCAATGGGCAAAACAGAAACATACCAGAAAGAATTGGGCCATATGCGCTTTGAGCTGAATGTCCGTGTCTGCCAGTAGCTCATGCACAGCAATGCGGTGTGTGTGATCAATCACAGTGCTCCGGCACAGGACACTGCAGAGGGAACAGAACCTGCTAAGCCTGACTCCAAGAGTCTCCCTCATTTTATATCTCCCTGTGTGATGTCTGATTGCTGCTCAGCTTCTCCTGTAAATAACTGGATGAACCATAGTGAATTTTCCTGCACGGATAGTTAAAGAGAGATAAGAACCAGCTGCTCTCCATTCGACCTCTATTTATGGTGACCCCATGTGAGTCAGAGTAGAACTGTGCTCCACAGGGCTTTCAGTGGTTGGTTTTTCAGAAGTAAATCGCCAGGCCTTTCCTCCAAGATGCCTCTGGATGGATGAACTTACAACCTTTTGGTGAGCAGCCAAGTGTGTTCACCATTTGCACCACCCAGAGACTCTTTAAGTGGGATAAACCCGTTGCCGTCAAGTCGATACTGACTCATAGCGACCCTACAGGACGGAATAGAACTGCCCCATAGGGTTTCCAAGGAGCACCTGGTGGATTCAAACTGCCAACCTTTGGTTAGCAGCCAAGCTCTTAACCACTGTGCCACCAGAGCTCCCTTACGAGGCATACAACCCCATAACCTCTATAGGGAAAAGAACTTTCCGACCACATCCACTGCTGCATCTCTCAGGGTTAAAGGCCCCATGGTTTTTAGGAATACCTGGTTTAGTCACAGGGGTTGCGGGGAGAGCCTCAGAGTCAGTAATGGCTGCTCTGTAAGGCACAGCCTTCTGTGAAATTTACCAATATTCTTGGTACAGTTACTGAGTATAGTTATCCATGAGCCTCACAACCACCATCCCACACTAAGTCAGTAAGTACAGCTTGTCTTAGACAACACTGGGAAAAACCCAGAATTTGCCTTTTGAAACCACTGTCTGTTCCTCCTCATTCTGCCTTTCTCAGTCCTACCAGTGGTGTTTTTCCCAGAATGCTCCTTAGAAGCAAGGATGGCAAGACCTCTTCTCACATACTTTGGACATGTTATCAGGAGAGACCAGTCCCTGGAGAAGGACATCATGCTTGACAAAGTAGATGGTCAGCGAAAAAGAGGAAGACCCTCAACCAAATGGATTGACAGTGTCTGAAACAATGGGCTCAAGCATAACAACGATTATGAGGCTAGCGCAGGACTGGGCAGTGTTTTGTTCTGTTGTACATAGGGTTGCTATGAGTCAGAACTGACTCAGCAGCACCTATTAACAACACGCCATCAAGTAAAATACAGGGTTCCAGAGTATTTAAAAAGCCAGTCTTGAATTAAAGAATACAACTCTAATGGTAAAACCTATAAATGTATTTATTGAGTAATGTTTCTGGCATCATACTCTGTAGACAACTTTCCTATCTATAAACATCATTTGGAACTAGTAACATATTAAAATTAAATGACCATATCTGGTAAGTATTTGAAATAATTTGTGCGATGACTTTTTTATAAGGATTAAAATCAGATAAAGTATATAAAGAGCCAAATAAGTTTATGGCATATATTAGAAACTCAACAGACACCCGTTTTCTTTTCCCTTTTGTGTGTGTGAGTGTGTGTGTGTTGATTAAAACAAATTCCTTTTGGATTCAAGCATAATCTTGGGAGTTAAAAATATTAAATAAGTCCCTTAGTTTTATACTCATTCTGCATTAAATTCTTACTAAGAAATAGACTAACAGTAATAACTTGATTAATTTAATTATTAATAATCACTTCTCTTTTGGGGAGCAGATTTGATTTATTACAGCACTCTTTTAAAAAGTGGTATTCCTATTAGCACCACTACTATTCTGCTGGGATATTGCTTTTTAACAACAGAGTTAGAACTCACTTAAGAAACTCTGAAAAAGGCTCAAACCTCAGCAACAACCACTGCAATGTTGAAAGGGCCTGTCACTTGGAATGGGTTTTTATGGAACAAGTATTTTCCAACTGCACCGTATTTTTGGGCTCCAAATACCTATGGCCTGTTTATTTTCACTTTTCCATATGACAGGCAACATAAAGAAAAAGGAAATATTTTAGCCAAGTGGAAAAAATATACTGGGGCATTCCTGGGAGTGGTTAAATATGTGGTTCCTGGCCTGATACAATACTGTCTTGGCCTTCTAATGACAGAGACTCCTAAAGGGGACGTTTGGTGGTATCACCCTGGGAGACAAAATGACTTGCAGAATATCAGGCAGTTCTTCCCCAACAACTCCATTCAAAGGTCATGAAACAAAGCTTATGCGGAAAGGATGTCTTTCTTTTTTTGGTTTTGAGATCATTCCTTTTCTCAGCATAGATCTTCTTAGAGTCTCCTCTGAGATGATCCAGGGAGCCCGCAGTCATACCCACTTTTCATCCTACAGAACAGGGACTAAGCCATGTGACCTGGAATGTGGATGGTGCTGGGGGCTGGGCTTTGACAGAACCTGTCTGGAGAAGCCCAGGCAGAAACGGTGAGACTCCTGTCCCAACCTATGGCCAACAGTCTCCAGGACTCAGGCGGTGCAGTGGACGACCCATCTGGGAGGACATTCTGGTGGCTGCTGATGTCACTTATTGATTCAACTAATATTTCCAGATAATGACAGAACATTCTGGAAACTCTTTTGGGCCCATACAGTGTCCTATTAAAAATCCAAATGCAATTACATTCCTTGGTTTCATTATCACCACCACAGAGAACAGACTTTCACAGCTACCTTTTAGAGGGGTGCTGAGGCTCACTGCAGTTCTCCACCTGCTCTTTCAAGGGACTCTGACTTCCTGTGCCATTTAACTATACAATTAATTGCATGTGGAAAAACTCCTTGCACTGTTTCTTTAATTAAAACATGTTCTGAACATCCACACGTCTTGAAATATTAAGCAAAGAAAACAATTTTTAATTAACCCTTGTCAGTCAGAGTTCTGGGAAGAGAAGGGTTTCATCCAGACAAATTTTAAAATTCGACACAGGGGGGACTCCGGCAAGATGGCGGTCTAGGCAGAAGCACCACGCCGTCCCTCCACAGCAAAGATCCGAAAAACTAAGCCAAACAGAGAATCAACAATCCTGAAACCCTAG